TGAATGCACCTGCTGTATTTCTGTGCTAAGCAGTGGGGAAGTGAAATAGGCATGCCCTGGTGTTCTCCTGGGTCCTCTGTGCTAACGTCTTTTAAAACAAAAATCCGTTTGCTTCTTGCCGTCTCTTGTACATCTGTTTTGTGCTTCCCTAAACAAAGTTGAATTCGTTTCTGTAGTCTGTTCCAGTGAAGATGTCATATAGGGATTTGAACATGACTTGGGTGAGAGAGGAAAAGTACGCTATATCTCTGTTGGACTGATGGAACGTGATGACACCATTTGGTGATGGGAAGTGTGGGGCTGGGAATTTTCTCCGGCTCTTTAATGTACACCAGAAGCAGGATCTACAAGTGAGGCGCAGCAGGGCTTCGCTTGGTGGATGATTCTGCTGCCCCAGAGCGCAGCTGTGTCTGCAGCGTGGCTGTCTGTGAACCCGAGCCCAGGAGGAGCCACCCTGCTTTGCATCGACTCCTAAAGCTTCCTCCAGACGCCTGCTGACAGGGACAAGTGCCCGCCAGGCCTTCAGTGTTTGGATAATACCATGTTACCATGTGCTGTGGTGCTCTGGGGATTTTGAATAAATGACCCCTGGCTCATTTGTGTCCTTGTCTCCAGACCCGCGGCAAGCTCCCAGGGGCAGGAGAGCCTGGATGGCTTCTCTGCGCACGGTGACAGCTGTGTGCACGGGCTAGCTCACCGTCTGCTTCTCTCTTCTGTGTTGTTTTCAGGCCAACCGGGACGCTGTGCTGAGCAGGATACCTGAGCACAAGAGCGACCGCCTCATCAGTTTACAGAGTGCATCTGTGGTCTATGATTTACTGACCATCGCTCTTGGAAGAAGAGGCCAGTATGAGATGCTGTCAGAGGTACAGCCCTTGAGTCTGGTTGACTTCCAGCAGTGGGTAGTGCTGGCAGTACCAGCACTGTGAAGAGCTGTGGGACCTGGTCTTGTCCCCACCCCCCGTCGCTGGCAGCCATGTGACCTTGGGCCCATCACTTAACTTTGGTTTCCATCTCTGCAAAATGCGAATTGGGCTAAACGATTAGGTGGTGGAATTCATTGGTGGTCATCTCCTACCAAGGGTCCATAAACCCACTGGGGTGAGTTCACGTATGAGAGAAGGCAAGCGTTTCTCAAGCAGTTTCTCTTTCAGTGTAATTTCCACCATAACCCCAGTCTCCCATCTGTGATATTAATTTCCTTGTAAAACAGGTTTTATTTTATATAAAGTATCAATGCATAACTCCTGGTGCACTGGCATCTTCCGGCACAGTGTACGTCGGGTGAGCTTGGTACAGGCTTCACGGGAAGTAAACGCTGTCGTCACGTAGAGTCTTTTACTTGTTCAGCAGAGACCCCAGCTGCTTACAGATCTTGTACCAGGCGTTGCCATCTCATTCCCTCAGCTGCTAAGAAACACTTAGGATGGAAGCCTGCCGGTTTTCCAGTTTCAGAAGAAGCTGGTTAATCCGAGGCTGCGGTTATGCATTATTGAGTCCCTGCCCAGAATACCAAATCCACCCTGGCAGGGGCTAAATCAGTAACAAGATCATTTTATCTTCTCTTTAGTGAAGTAAAAAGAAAGAAGGGAAGAAAGACAACTCCTTTTGTTAAAATGAACTTTTCCATGTTATTTATCTTTCTTTTTCTAAATTTACACACATTGCAACAGCCTCTGGGCACGAGGACAGGGAATGAAATACAGTAACAGATTGGCTGAAATCAGATAAGCACCCAGCTCACCCCGTAGCCTGCCTGCCGGTGCATCGCCACATTAGGCAGGAGCCTTGGAGAACAGATGAGCCTGCGTGGCTTGGATCTTTTTTTAGTCTTTGGTTTGGTGACTATACAGGGCAATGGTTACTCAGTCTTCAAAAAAAAAAAAAAGCCCTCGCAATCTGGCTTAGATAAGGCAATGAGTCCAGATGTTCCTGTCATACACGGTACACCCCCTGGGACACTGCCCAGGCTTGGGATTGGCCCAGATTCTTTACCACCCCAGGGGATCTGGCTTCCTGGGACCCTCTCCTTCTGGCCAGCTTAGTTCCTGTCCGACGCTTCCACCAAAGAGCCCGTCTGTGGTGCCACCCAGCTCACAGCTGAGTTCTCTTAAGGTGAACTCCCCTCCACCCCCGACAAACCACTAAAAGTTTCTCGGAGGCCAGGGTTGAGCGTGGTTTGCACGTCTGCTTTCCTCCCATCATGTAGCAACAGAACCTGTCCCCAGCTTGAAATTCCCCTGTGTCCGCAGCAGGTGTGAGGAGCCTGAGGCTGACAGGCTGGACGGCCCCTGCCCACAGGCTTCTCGTCATGCCACAAGTGACTCCAGGGGCACGGCTGTCATCCTAGC